GTCCCCCCACCCCCCCCCCCCCCCCAACAGAGTGAATGTTACCTTTGATTTGGTGCTAATCCAGTCATTTATTGGTCTTTTTAGGGTCCCATGGGTCCCCGTGGTCCTGCTGGCCCCCCTGGAAAGAATGGAGATGATGTAAGTGATGCTTTGATTCTTTTCTTTGCTGCCTATCTTTGTTAATGATGTAGTTCTTGGGATGCTATAATTATATTCATGCATAACCTACAGAAATGCACAGCCAAAATTTTTCTGATGGACAATGACTGTTGATGCTTCCACACACATATCTCATGTTATTTGTGTTCTTCAAAAGGGTGAGCCCGGCAAATCTGGTCGCCCCGGTGAGCGTGGAGCTGCTGGCCCTCAGGTGAGTGACAAAGGCCAGAGGATGGTTGGCAAAAAAATTATTCCATACTGCCATCTATGTGCTGATAGTCAACATACACATGGGCACAAAGGTTGATGTCCCTTAACTGTCAAATTCCTATGTTTAGAGTCATTAAAATGATTTTGTTCAGAAGGTCAAAAACCTTACTCTTTGTTGATGTCTTATGTCTTGTTTTCTTCCTGCAGGGTGCTCGTGGATTCCCCGGAACCCCTGGACTCCCCGGCATCAAGGGACACAGAGTGAGTTTTGAAGAGCACTGAATACCAAAATCAGGCTTTTCACCTTCTGTGCTGTTAAGAGTGGTGACCGGGTTTATGATGCACTTTTTTCTTGTACTCAGGGTTTCAACGGTCTGGATGGATCTAAGGGAGACGCTGGACCTGCTGGCCCTAAGGTAATGTAACAGAATAGCAGCTGATGCACACGAACACAGCCATCTCATCATAAACTGCACCAATATTTCAGTTTGAGCCACTAGGCCAAAGTGGTTCCACCTCCAATCTCTTTTCCTTCTGTGTTTGTGTACAGGGAGAGGCTGGTTCCCCTGGTGAGAACGGTATCCCTGGCGCCATGGTACGTTTTGCCTCACCTAAAACAATTTGTTAAAATGTACATTACTATAGGGGTTAGAAGTTGTTCCTGTAATAACAGTGACAATTAGATGTGACACTTTAAGTCTCGCCTCTTTCATATCCACAAAAAGATGAGTATGTAAAATGTAGCACTGTCAAGCTTGAATTTTTCTGTTTTTGTCTTTGCTAGGGTGCCCGTGGACTTCCTGGTGAGAGAGGCCGCCCCGGAGCCCCTGGCCCTGCTGTAAGCAGTTTTCTCTTCCTATTCTTACTCATCTATTGAAACACTTGTGACTGTGGTGAAAAACTAGAACATGGTTCTGTCTATAATATTTAGTCATGCACTACTGTTTAGATCTACTGATTGATATATTTTTATATTTTAAAACACATGTTGTTCCCCAAATGTGACATTGATCTAATCTGCCCCTCCTCTGCAGGGTGCTCGTGGTAATGATGGCAACACTGGTCCTGCTGGGCCTCCTGTAAGTACTGTGTTTAGCATTGTTTATGGCCACTTGGAAATTAGTGCCTACTTTAAACTATTTAATTAACTGTCTGTTAATATCATGTGTATTTTTTAGGGCCCTACTGGACCTTCTGGGGCCCCTGGATTCCCCGGTGGTGCTGGTGCTAAGGTAAGTCATCTAGAACTAGACATCTTTCACATCACATCGAAAAAGTTTTGCCAGTGATGCTTGGATTAGGTGCAGTGATGCTGGTCTGTGTTAGTGCTCTCTGTCTGAGTTGTCTGGCTGTTTTAAGGTGTCTGTTATAAAACCATAAAATTTGGAAGTCAATCAAATAAGGGTTACTTTTACTGTAATTCAGGAGGAAGATGGCACATTACTTGCTGTGTCATCATGCCCCTGATCTTGCTCATTAGTAGGAAAACTGGGGGTATGATCTGTCTGCACAGATTAAGGCCTGTCACCCTACTTCCCAGTACTAATTTCATGAATGAGTTATAGTCTCCATGCTCCACTATCAGCCATTAGCCAGCATGTTGTAAAACTGAAACCAAAATATTTGGCACAATGTTGTATGTCCCATGTGTGTAGCCGCCAGATGGCACCAGGGGACCTCTAATGGCACCTTACCTCTGCTGTCACCATCAGTGAAGCAACTACTTTAATATCCTGGATCTCATCTATCATGAAGTCACACACACTGGGGTTATTTTAAGATCTAAGAGGAAGAGAATAGAGAAAGCAGTCAGTGATGTGGCAGCAGTCAGAAACAATGGGTTTGGTGACTGTTCTGACTCTATTCACACTTTTTGTACTAAAACTCCTTCAACTCCAATCTTTTTGCTTTGAAGGAAACAAAACAATTAAAAATGCTCTGTCACCAGTGTGAAAAAACAAACCAGTACAAGTTTAATCAACTGTTAACTTGTCCTTTTTAAGGTAAATGATGTGTATATTTAATGTGTTTATGCTTTATGGTATGTATTTATTTTAATTTGCCAGGGCACTCACATGTTGTTAAAGTTGCAGGTTTCTGAGATGTTCCTTTCCTGCACAGGGAGAGACCGGTCCTCAGGGAGGCCGTGGACCCGAGGGTCCCCAGGGAGCCCGGGGTGAGCCTGGTAACCCAGGACCCGCTGGAGCCGCTGGACCTGCCGTGAGTAGATGCTCCCGTTTCTCTTTTTGTACATCTTCTTCCCCTATTTTTTCAAAGGAATAAATCAGAATGCTAAACAGAGATAAACACCTTCAACATTTTATGTCCTTCCTTATCAACAGGGTACCCCTGGATCTGATGGTTCTCCTGGTGCTAAGGGTGCTCCTGTAAGTTTCATACACACTGATAATGTTTTTATCGTTTGAACTCTGTGCATGAAGCATTCTTACTCCCGTAATCTCCATCCCATAGGGTCCTGCTGGCATTGCTGGTGCTCCTGGTTTCCCAGGTGGTCGTGGTCCTGCTGGAGCTCAGGGAGCTGTTGGTGCTCCTGGTGCCAAGGGTAACAATGTGAGTAGACAATTGACTGTGTGAATTTTGATTTTAGACCCAAGATCATTGGACATCTTAAATAAAAAGTGTGTGTTTCTGCCAACAGGGTGACCATGGCCCCCCTGGTCCTAAGGGAGAGCCTGGTGCCAAGGGAGAGCCTGTAAGTTTCAAAATACACTGATTCTTGATTGATTGTAATTGTTTCCTGTGCTTATTAGTCCATGTATTTTCCAACTTCCTGCGATATAGAGCATGTCAATAACTTAACACGTTTCGTTTGATTGACTATTTTTTTTCTTTGCCAGGGCCCCGCTGGAGTTCAGGGACTTCCTGGACCCTCTGGTGAGGAAGGAAAGAGAGGACCCCGTGGAGAGCCTGGTGGTGCTGGACCCCGTGGACCCGCTGGAGAGCGTGTATGTTACTTCCTCTTTCTTCTCAACTGCATTGTGTTTATGTAGAATACTTAAGGTTCAGCGTTTCATACGCCGCATATCCCCATAGTATTCAGCTAACAAATACTTCCTAAACCTTTAGTTTTATTAGAAGTTAGTGAGGCAACAACAAGTAATATAATATAGGTTCCTAGAAAGAATTCTGGACAATTACTACACATTAAATTCCCAGGGGGATTTGTGTCTAAGATACTGTATAAGTCAAGCATTTACATTCCAGTTAGTGACATGATTTGCGTGTGTCTTTGTTCCTTTAGGGTGCCCCTGGTGCTCGTGGTTTCCCTGGTACTGATGGAGGTGCTGGTGGCAAGGTGAGTGAGTCCTCCGCCAGGTCAGGGATCATTTTGTCACACTTAGTTTACTAAACCCCTTTTCAGATTTTCCTGACAGTATTGTACACATTATGAGACCAAACAATGTATTAAAGGAGTCAAACCTTGGAGTTTACTAAAAAAGACTGACCTCAACCACTGTCCTGACTTGTGGAGATTTCTCCTGATGCGTCTGCACTTGTATGACAGGGAGCCCCTGGTGAGCGCGGTGCCCCCGGCCCAGCGGGAGCTCAGGGAGCCACTGGTGAGTCTGGAACCCCTGGCGCACCTGGTGCACCCGGACCCAAGGTGAGTTCTTCACTCGATTTCACCAGATGCAGCATTTCTGTGTTACGAAAAGTCTTAAATGAACACTCACTGACAAGACTCTGATGTTTGTCTTTATACTCACTGAATCTCATATGTGCCCTGTTCTCCATAGGGTATGACCGGTAGCCCTGGAAGCCCTGGCCCTGATGGCAAAGTTGGACCTTCTGTAAGTACTGAACCACAATTAGTTACAGTACTTGTCATACAGTGAAGAGACCTTAAAGCTGTAAAGAAGGAAATTTAATTGGCTACATTTTGATTATTTTCTGTATTCTCCTGTCTTCCAATAATCTTTAGGGTAATCCTGGACAAGATGGCCGCCCTGGACCTCCAGGCCCTGCTGGATCCAGAGGACAGCCTGGAATTATGGGATTCCCCGGACCAAAGGGAACCAGCGTGAGTTAACAGAACACCCTCACTCATTTTCTTTTCAGATGCAAAAATAGATCTCCAGAAGGTACATAATTATTTAACTTCCAAGTTAATCTTTTGTTTAACATACACGGACCAATAATCCTGGTAACAAAAATCTTCATAGCACAAAAAAAAAGCACTTTAACAAACAAAAATAAGGTCACTGAAACATTAGATCACTGATAAATCAGTAAAATCTACTTTAGTAAATACATAATAACACAATAAAATAAATACTGTTACACAACAGATGTAAGTGAGGACTTCGTTTTCACAGGGTGATGCTGGTAAGCCTGGTGAGAGAGGTGCTGCTGGTGCTTCTGGCCCTGTTGTAAGTACTCACATACTTTTAGAAATATAATCATTAAACTTTACTAGTGTAAAATATATTTTATGTCAAAATAAAGGCATAAAAACTGTTGATAACTGTGTGGGTAACGAATTTGTTCCCAGGGTGCTCCTGGCAAAGATGGTGATGTTGGTGCTCCTGGACCTTCTGGCCCTGCTGTATGTATTTCATCTGCCTTAGCGTAGTTATATATTTTAGTGGGCTGACTTAATGTAAAATGAAAGTATGACATGTTAAATTATCTGTTGCAAGGTTTCTTATCATGTAGTTTTCTTCTTTCTGTTCAGGGACCTGCTGGAGACAAGGGTGAGCAGGGACCTGCTGGTTCTGCTGGATTCCAGGTAGGTTGCGAGATCATTTTAATAGCCTGAGTGCTCTCTTTTGTTTGTTAATATATTTCTGAGCTGCGTCATAAATCCACTTGAAAACACTAACATTTTTCTGCCTTTCTTTCTTGTGCAGGGTCTTCCTGGGCCCCAAGGTGCTACTGGTGAGACTGGCAAGCCTGGTGAGCAGGTAAGTGCCGCAGAGAACTGTAGACGCACAGATTTGTATTTCATAGCCTAACTGGTCCCTACTCGTCAGCTAGGCCTTCACATGCAGAGTACAATGTAGTTGCTAATCATACATAGATATTACGCATGTAAAACTATAAACATTTAGGAATATTGTGATTTTTCAAGATTCCAGATTTTGTCACTATCATCCTGTCCTTTCCCCATTTCTTGTGCTGCATTGTGCATCATCCTGACAGTAGATCCACGATAACCTTCTTCCCTCTTTCATCTTTTTCCAGGGTGTTCCCGGTGAGGTTGGACCCCATGGCCCATCTGGACCAAGAGTGAGTAGCTCCTGCGTTGTCATCATCCATAGTAAACAGCCTACCTCTTTTGTTAAAATGGTCGGGACTACTGCATCTCTTCTGTTCTTCAGGGTGACAGAGGTTTCCCTGGTGAGCGTGGTGCTCCTGGTGGTAGCGGCCCTGTTGGACCACGTGGCTCTCCTGGCCCTGCTGGAAACGATGGACCTAAGGTAAGTGGGTAGGAAAAAGTCTTTACAGTGAGGAGATTTTTTTTTAAACTCTGATCTCATAGTTAAAATGGCTATTTCTTGAACATTAACTCCAAGTTTTCAGAACAGTCCAGTTTTTGAAATGACACTGGAATAAATGAAGCCGTTCACTGACGTCAACAATGACATCACACATCACACAGATCAGATTTAACAGTAGAAAAGTGTTCAAATACAGATGAGTGACAAATAAAAGGAAAATCTTGTATAAATTAATAGAAATGGGAAACAAATGCAGAGGTCACTCATTAGACTGCTGATTATTTTCTTGATTATTTGACAGAAGGTAAAAATTGTGGAAAATGCCCTTTTTGACTTTCCAGAGTAAAAGGTCGTGTGTTATCTGATGATTTTACAACCTGTGCATTTGTTGGTGGCTGTCAGATGAAAATGAGCTTTTAGCTCTGTCTGGTACAATAAATGTATCGTGCATTGTCCCTGTCAAATAAACACATAAAGAAATAAAGAAAGATGATTGAAAACTGTAGGTATTATGAGTAGATAATAATAAATATTTGTGTCTTTGTGTGGGTGTGCAGGGAGAGCCTGGTGCTGCTGGTGCACCCGGTGGTCTTGGAGCCCCTGGAATGCAGGGAATGCCTGGTGAGCGTGGAGCCTCTGGTCTCCCCGGCTCCAAGGGAGAGAGAGTAAGTATCACACCACTATAACATTGTTATGAGCATTTATTATGACAAAAACAAATGGGAGACAGTTTGATTTGCTGGTCATTATAATTTTTTCAGCACTCAGATGAGAGAAAATATATATAATATTTCATTTAATTCACATTTTTAAAATGTTTAGTTGATTTGTCAGGTCAAGATTACCCTAGCAGGGGATTATGAGTGAAGAAATGGCACGCTGCTTTCTGTTAACTGAATTAGACATATTTTAAATGTCCAAAGTTTGTCAGACAAGAAGGAAGAAAACAGCGATTATGGAGAATACTGAGGACAAACAGGCTGATGTTTTTTTATTGTCTTCTCAAAATACTTGCCAAATGCTAGTGGTACAGTGACTTCCTATTTTTTTAATGTTTGCCAGGCCCAGTGTGTTTATTCCTTCTGACAATTAGCAAAAAGCAAGCAAGGAAGGTCACTTTGAGTTTTCCTTACAGAGCACCCAAATGTGAAGCAGCAGTATATTTGGGTTCTTATAACTTAGTAAGGAGTAGTAAGAACATGTTTAGTACAATCACAAGGGATCTCACTGACCTTGTTTGCTTGCTTCTCAGGGTGACCATGGTGCCAAGGGAGGTGATGGTGCCCCTGGCAAAGATGGCGCCCGTGGCTTGACTGGACCCATTGGAGTCCCTGGACCTCCTGGTGCACAGGGTGAGAAGGTAAGACCAGCTTTAGTTCATGATGTTGCTCCTCCTGCTCTCATGACAGTTTTCAGTAACAAATACAGTGTATGTAGCCAATATATACACTATGAATTGGATTTCACAAGAAAAAGTATCCCTAATTATGCTCTAATTTACTAAGATATCTCCAAGAACAGATGTCAAATAGATATTCAGTGCTGTGCTTTCTAATTTTGGGAGCTTGACTTTGGCTTAAATGTGGCTTCTGACTTCCTGTCTTTCTCCTTCATCGTTGGTTTTAGGGTGAGGGTGGTGCTGTTGGAGTTGCTGGTCCCACTGGTCCTCGTGGTGCCCCTGTAAGTTCTCTAAACACACACTTCATTGACCAGAAAACAGAGTAACATATTGATCATATGTTTTGTGCTGTGTTGTAATAAACTCAGTCTTGACTGAATGACGCTAAAACATTTTTCATTATTTTTCCTCCAGGGTGAGCGTGGAGAGACTGGCCCTTCTGGACCTGCTGGATTCGCTGGACCTCCTGTAAGTCTGTCAATAATTACATTTTACCCTAAGACTGGTCTTTATTCTTTATGTTTTGTTGTTTTTTTCAGCTTCAGATGCTTTCAGCTGTGTAAAAATACAGCAAACTTACTTTTAAAGTTGGCACAGGAAGGCATGTTGAGCTGTTTCTTCTGTTGCCTTCCAACCTCAGGGTGCTGATGGTCAGCCTGGTGCCAAGGGAGAGACTGGTGACTCTGGACCCAAGGGAGACGCTGGTGCTCCTGGACCTGCTGGACCTGTTGGTGGTGCTGGTCCTCAGGTAGACATACCAGATGAATAACCTCTGATACACAGAACACTCAAGCCACCAAATACTAATATTACTATTGACGTTTACAGTATATAATTTATCAGATGGTGTTGATAATGAGTTTTATAAATGGGAATTTTTTATGTGGTCATATTTTCTTCAGTTGGTTGAATTATTGTGGTTCCTGTTTAACAATAAAGTCCTACCTACCTACCTACCTTAACCCAAAAATGTTTCTGTCATCAGGGACCTGCTGGTCCTACTGGACCCCAAGGTGCTCGTGGTGGTGCTGGACCTCCTGTAAGTAACCCATCAACATGTAAGATTTTGTAGAATTCGATGACACTCTACCTCCTGAAAGATGGTGAAATCAGTGATGATTTAAGTTTCATTTATTTGTGTGTGTGTTTGTAGGGTGCTACTGGTTTCCCTGGACCTGCTGGTAGAGTCGGACCCCCTGGTCCTTCTGTAAGTATCCTCACACCCACATAACCAGCTGTAATAACACATACACAGTCTTATATTATCCTCATGGTCTTCAATGACATGACTTCTTTTTCATTTCCAGGGACCCGCTGGACCCCCTGGACCTATGGGACTTGTTGGCAAAGATGGAGCAAGAGGAAACCGCGGTGAGACTGGTCCTGCTGGTCGCTCTGGTGAGCCTGGTGCTGTGGGACCCCCAGGAATTGCTGGAGAGAAGGGATCTCCTGGTTCTGATGGAGCCCCTGTGAGTACCTACCAGCTATAATTGCAATAGATGTTCTGTCATGGTTTTGACAACCTAAACTGTGTCACAGTGATATATTGTCTGCTTACTGATCGCTGTTTTCTTCTGTGCAGGGTCCCGCTGGTGTTTCTGGACCCCCTGGTATTGCTGGACAGCGCGGTATTGTAGGTCTCCCTGGTCAGCGAGGAGAGCGTGGTTTCCCTGGTCTGCCTGGACAATCTGTGAGTATTCTCTGAGCACATCATGGCCAGAAACCTTAGTGTTTCTCTTGTGCAAGGACAGGACCCTATTGCATCAATGTAAATTTAGCACGAAATGTGTTTCTCATGCTTGACCACAACATGAGTGTACAGTATTTTTAAAGCTGTCCTTGGTGGATCCACATGCATGCAGAGAACTGACCACTCTTGTTTTTTAGGGTGAGCCTGGAAAGCAGGGACCTCCTGGACTTGTTGGTGAGCGTGGACCCCCTGGACCTGCTGGACCCCCTGGACTGTCTGGTGCTCCCGGAGAGGCCGGTCGTGAGGTATTCTGCTTCAAGTCTGTATAATCACTCTCAATCAGAGACAATTTAGTGCAGCATGGGTCAAACACTGAAAATCCACCTACAATTCACACATTTTCATGAACTGGCTAATGATGCGCCTTATTAGCACTGTTAAACAGCTTGGTTCACCACAGAATGACTTCCTTAGCATACTGTTGCTAACCATTGAACAGTATGATGATTGGCAATTCTCGCTGCTTCTCCACAGGGATCTGCTGGTCATGAGGGTGCTCCTGGTCGTGATGGATCTGCTGGAGCCAAGGTAACCTTCCTCCCACTGACTAACTTCTATCATTCTCAAACTTCAAATCATATAAATACCAAACATTTTGCTATGTTTTCAATGACCATGTAATCTTTAGCAGCGTCCCAATAGAAACATTCCAAATGGCCTTTAGTTGTCTATCTCACTGGGGATTTGCTCCTACAGGGAGACCGTGGTGAGAGTGGTATGCCTGGACCCCCTGGACCCCCAGGTGCTCCTGGAGCCCCTGGAGCTTTCGGCCCCTCTGGCAAAGCTGGTGACCGTGGAGAGAGTGTAAGCCTCCATCCTGCTTATCCTGATCCTCTTGAAAAAAGTAACTATATAAATCTGCTAACTTGGTGTACAGATAACTGTTGATTTTACTTTGCTTTGATTTTCTTTTTTCTTTAGGGTCCCGCTGGTCCAGCTGGTCCTGCCGGCCCTGCTGGTGTCCGTGGTGCCGCTGTACGTTCGTCACTACTTAATATGCACCATTATCATTTATATATTCACTTTTGAGACAGTACAGGAGTCTTCTGCTGACTGTAGACTGAACAGCACCTCCTGTTGCTTTTATCCAGGGTCCTGCTGGCGCCAAGGGAGACAGAGGAGAGGCTGGTGAGGCTGGAGAGAGAGGCCACAAGGGACACAGGGGATTCAGTGGCATGCCGGGTATGCCTGGACCTGCTGTAAGTAACCATTTAATTGTGATAGAGAACTCTATAAATTACTGCATCAAAAAGCTTTCAGATTATTTAGTTATTTGATGTTAACATCTTCATCTGCCTCTAGGGAGGACATGGAGAGAGAGGACCTGCTGGTGCCTCTGGACCTGCTGGACCTAGAGTAAGTGTGACTGTTTTACAGTTTGTCATGTTACCGGTAGTTATTTATTTTAAAAAAAAAAAGAAAAGCTTGTCTACCAGGTTAAATCTTGGAGAGTCTGTTTTTAATGTAGGAGTTTTTTTCACTGACTCCATTTGTGAGTTCAGTGCCTCAGAGTGTAGGTATAATAATCCAGAAAGTGGCAAATATTGTATGTAATGAAAAAAGATTATAATCAACACATATGCCAGTTTTATACGTGCACATAACATCAGTAAAATGGCAAGCTGAACTGAATGAACTGAAGTTTTTTCTTGTGAAGTGATCATGTGGCTTTTGCTCCACAGGGCCCTGCTGGATCTAATGGCTCCCCTGGTAAGGATGGCATGAATGGTATGCCCGGACCCATCGGACCCCCTGGACCTCGTGGTCGCAATGGAGAGATGGGACCTTCTGTAAGTTGCAATACAATTGTTCATTTATCCACATGCTTGTACATTCAGAAGCTTGTAAGCCCCTGGTGTCTCCAAACAGGGTCCTCCCGGACCTCCTGGTCCTCCTGGTCTTCCTGGACCTCCCGGCAGTGGATTTGAGTTCATCGCCCAACCAGCTCAGGAGAAGGCCCCTGATCCTTTACGCGGTGGTTACTACCGTGCTGATGACCCCAACGTGATGCGCGATCGTGACATGGAGGTTGACACCACCCTCAAGACCCTGACTCAGAGGGTTGAGAAGATCCGCAGCCCTGATGGTACCCAGAAGAGCCCTGCCCGTATGTGCCGTGACCTGAGGATGTGCCACTCTGAGTGGAAGCGCGGTGAGTACAGATCAGTGCCCTGATGGAGCCTTTGGATAAAGAATGACATGAGAATAAGCTTAACTTGTTTTATCTTTCCCTGTTACAGGAATATACTGGGTTGATCCCAACCAGGGTTCTCCTCTGGATGCCATCAAGGTCCACTGCAACATGGAGACCGGTGAGACTTGCATCTACCCCAGTGTGCCCAGCATCCCCATGAAGAACTGGTACCTCAGCCAGAACATCAGAGAGAAGAAGCATGTCTGGTTCAGTGAGTCCATGACCGGTGGATTCCAGGTGAGAAGACAGGGCCAAAAAACCAGTCCCACAGTGACAAAAATCTTTCTCATCCATTAGCGGACAAGCGCTATTAAAACTCATGCATCTTTCTCTTCCCTCCACCGTGCAGTTCCAGTATGGCAGCGATGGAGCTGATCCCGAGGATGTCAACATTCAGATGACTTTCATGCGCCTGATGTCCAACCAGGCCTCTCAGAACATCACATACCACTGCAAGAACAGCATTGCCTACATGGACTCCGCCACTGGCAACCTGAAGAAGGCCCTGCTTCTCCAGGGCTCCAACGATGTTGAGATCAGAGCCGAGGGCAACAGCCGCTTCACATACAGTGTCAGCGAGGATGGTTGCACGGTGAGTTTTAGTTGTACATACCGTGACACTTGCGTTCACATACATTCCTAAAGAGAGATAAAGACCATCCGGCCTTGCCTTTAGAGAAGCAACGCTTTGAGCCTTACAGCACTTGAGCTACAGTAAATGACTCCACTTTCTTGAGCACTTTCTAAACTTTTCTCTTTTTCTTCCTCTCCACAGTCACACACTGGCACATGGGACAAGACAGTCATCAGCTACAAGACATCAAAAACATCCCGCCTGCCCATCATTGACATTGCTCCTATGGATGTTGGTGCACCTGATCAGGAATTTGGCATCGAATTTGGCCCCGTTTGCTTCTTGTAAAAATGAAAGAAATATGGACATGACATTGTTGTTTTTTTTTCTAGCAGTCATCTCTAAACCCTTTTTCTATGCATTCAAAACTCATTCGGCTGCCATTGGTCCACATGCTTAAAACCACTCTGCTGAAGACGGTGTTTGTGTTTGTCAAATCATGAGAAGTTTTTGGGACTGATACTTCAACTGAAACCAACCACAAGGACACTTTAAAAAGAATCTTTTGTTTCCACTGGCAACAAGAAAATAATATATACTTGTGTAAAATTTCCCCATGGAGATTGAGAAAAAAAATCGATCCACACATGCAATGAAACACAGGTGACTTTTGCCATTTTCTACCACTGCGGAAGGACATTGAAAACAACAAGTGATATGTACCATTTTTCTGGTGTTAAATAAATTGTAAAAAGAGTGAAGTGTCTTCTTGTTCTAAATTCATAAAAGAAACACCTGAATATTGCTCAGACAAATGTGACCAGCAAATGAGCAAGACAAAGAAGCTCACCTTCATTGCAATACGTAGATGGCTACCTCATTACAAGACGTCACCGATTTTTTTCTTAAATGAAAAGGGTATATTTTACACGAGTCTATTGGGGAGGATTAAAAACATTCAAAGGTGCTATTTCCACTTCAGTGAGGTCCAGTTATTGGTGCTACAAAATTGACTCACTGTCTTGTTGTCTATGCAGTGCAATTGTTTTCTTCTTAAGTGTTGGTTTGATAACAGAGGTTCTCACTGCAGATGTAATGCATGCAATCAAGTCTTTGTAGATAAAAGCAAGTGACTCTGGTTCAATATCATTTCCCTGCCCATGTGTTCAGTGTTGATCCTTCTGTCTGTTTGCCCCTGTGGAAAACTCCTCTTCACTAAAGAAACTCAGTACACACCTCTCACCCTGTTGTTTATGTTGTTCGTTGATGTATTTTTTGCGAAGGGTTTCTTAAAAAAAGAATCTGAAGCAGACCCACTTTCATGGTTTAAAAGAGAGATTCTGTACTTATGTTGTACATGTATAATAAATTGAGATGTTTTTAATTATTTTGGGTGCTGAAATAAAGCATGTGAAGTGGTCTACTCGGTGGCAGAGTTTTCACTGTCCTGGTTTGCAACTGTTGTGAAACTGAAATCAGGATTTGGAAAGTACTTTATACACTGAAGTTGCATTTCACCTTTTCAGAGACCCCGGGAGACCACGCCCTGCTCCAGCGCTGGTATTCAAATAGGTTCAGAAAACAACTGTTCCACAACAGTTGCACTGATTATGTTTCTATGAAGCAGCAGTGAAAACAAGGCCAATAGCCAACCAGGCTTTTCAGAGTCTCTACACAAAGAAAGTTTTAATTGCAGATAAATGCCTTTAGAAATCAGACCTACAACAATGTACAACAATGTTTGTCTTGCTTTTATCTCTGCACTCAAAAACAGGGAACTGATTTTGCATGAGAATGAGGTTTGTCCTTATTAGACTCTTCACTGTTAAGAGGAGAGGAGATGTGTGTCAGACCTAAACACCCACAAAATCAAATCACGGTACGGGACCGACCCCATCTGGACATCCAGTGTAACAACAGCTGCTTTAAAGGTACTGTATGTGCAACACTGTAAAGTCTACTGCTGCACTGATTTCTGAAGGTTTTTCAGACTTCAAACGGTACATCTGGCCTTTATCCAACAGCCAAAGTAGAAAATGTAAAATGTCAGACCCTGAGAAAAGACTGAACCATTAAACAAAACTACTGTGAAAGCAACAGAGCAGTGATTTCCAACCATTTTGGACCGAGACCCTGTAAAGCAACATATGTTTCGTGAATCAGTGATATCATCTTCACTGAATGTTTAATTTTCATAATTTTCAGAGGTCTGAGGAGGTAAAAGTATCCAGTATGTAAAAAAAAAAAACAAAACAAGATGAGGAAGTGTCAGAAAAAAATTATTATTATAAGAATACAGAAAATCATAAACAGCAAATAACAATTTGAGAAACTGCATACTATTAATTTATTTTAATGGCACCTAAAAGAAAAACAAACTCACACAACAAATACATAATCACACTGTGGCACCAAATTGTATCAGCAACAATTTATACATCGCTGTTCTTATTTTTTGCAAAAACAAGCCATGTGATGAATCTGTTGTTTCAAACATAAATAATAATCACAAGATAAACACATCAGCCCATTCACCATAATGGGTGTAATGTTGTAGGAGGAGGTTCTGTGAGTGGGTTTACCTCGGCAGAGTGTCACTGTAGGGATCGCTATAAAAACAGGACAGTAAAAAAAATGTTAACTGTCGTCACAAGACTCCCAGAAAATGTGAGTCACCACTTTATTTTACATAACAGCAACAGTAATAGAAACAGGACACTGCTGGTGACAATAATAGCAGAAGGAGTGGGTGAGGGTCTTACTGTTGGGCCATGATGAGGGGGACGCTGTCAGACTGCAGCGGTGAAGCCCGCTCTCCAGTCCGACTGTTGAACATGGGCAGGGTGGACAGAGGCAGAGGAGCGCTTCGGTTTGCAGCCATGTTCCGCAGCTCGTCAGTGTCCCCGTGAATGGTGTGGTGGTGGTACAGCTGAATCCTGCAGCAAACACAACATCACATATGCTCCTCTACAGCTTCTGCCATGATTTTACACCATTTATTGTACAATATAATTTCACAGAAACAGTCAAACTGACTGAAAGCTTTGGTTGGTTGATTTCATTAATCATAAACAGCAGTAGAATGTAACTAAATATATTTAATCAAGTACAGCTTTGAGGTACTTGTACTTACAAGCAGTGACACTTAAGGCCTTCAGTTAAAATGCTTGGGTGTCACTCATGTCGTATTAAAGGCTTTTTATTATAAACATAGCTATATTTCAGAGGAATATATTAAACCTTTTCCTCCACTACATTTATCTGACATGCAAATGCTTACAAAATGCAATTTATTTAAAAAATGTGTCAAATAAATGTAGTGTAGAAAAAAATACAATATTCCTCTTAGAAATGTAGTGGAGTCGAAGTATACTGCATCATTACATGAAAGTATTCAAATACAAGTACCCAAAAACTGTACTTGAGTAATTGTACTTTCCACCAGAAACTGATTTTGTGTTATGTTTTTTGTTAAGTCTGGTAACATCAGTCAGAGAAGAGTGAAAATGCACTTACTGGTCTGTCTTTGCATTCCGCTTTGAGCTACAAAGAAAGGAAAATGTGTCACCTCTGTGGCACAGATCATTGGGATCATCATGCTTTGAGTGTTTACTTAAAGGGTCAGTTCAGTAATAGTATGTCACAATTTCATAAAAGCAGGTGAAACTAAAACTAAAACACGGATCCATTCCACCCAGGGTAATATGTCTTGATATTTTCAATTTGGTAACTCTTTAACATAAGACACTACAGATGTTTGTTACTCAGTAGACTCAGGATAGGTACATACAGTCCCTCTCGTCTGCCAAACATGATGTAGGCCAGCAGCACACACAGGATGATGGCGATGACCAGCGGCACAATCACTGTCACAATGTAGTCTGGGAAGAAGTCTCTGCTCGGGGGAGACTCGGGAGGGTCAAAGTCACCTCCAGACTCCAGAATCCCTGAGCCCATCGTGGGAGCAGGTGGAGCTGGCTCCGGGTTTGTCAGATCAAACTGCAGGGAGAAAGAGAGGGAGTCAAAGAGGTTGTTCTGTTTATAGTAACCGTGAGATGCAGCCACAGATGCAGGATTGCTGCTTTTAGTGGGTTAAATAAATATGCAACTATTTTGATAATCACTTAAATGGTTAAGCAATTTTTCAAGCATAGATGTCAAATGTTTGCAGTTTTTCTTGTCCCTACATTATAGTAAATTGCATATACTTGAGTTTTAGCCTGAATTGTTGTAATAGACTACATACATTTTAGCTACTGTAGGTGTGACCTAATAAAGTCTAACTGCAATAGCTGAATTGATAAAGAATTCGCATGATCATCCTTCTCTGGCCTCACCAGCTCTGTCTTGCACCAGGTGATGCAGTTGCTGGGAATGCGACAGAAGTTGCAGCCTCCGGGGGGCTTGACTATGTCCTTTGCGGAGCAGTTTTTGGCAAAGTGGCAGAAGTTGCAGTCTCTAGGGGGCAGTGTCATGCACTGCCTTTGGTTCTCTGGTGTCAGCACTCTCAGGAGGCAATCTGAGAAATATTTCTCCGACCCCACCTTCACATACACACTGACACATATCAGATTGTAATAAACATACAGTTACTCCGCAGCTAAAACTTATACTAAGGTTGCACAAAATTCTCTGGTTACCCTTCAAAGCATGTTGCAAGAGGGAGGGGAACTCTGCCACCACGGTCGAGGGCATTAGTGATATTGACAATTTCCAAGGCCTCAGTTTTCCACAGGTTTTGTAAATCCCGCTTTACCTCACCCTGAACAGAAGGGGGCAGCACCTTCTCAATCTCCCTTTGCTCAATGAAGAATTCGGCTTGATAGGGCAGCATCTTCTCTGTGGGAGACAGCAGCGACGCACAGCATGTTAACCACACTTTCTCATTTTTTATCTGTCACTTACAGTATATTCATTCATTACTTCCATTACTGTGCTGTACAGCTGTGATATTTAGATCACACATACCTTCATTAATTTTGATTACGAGTATCAGTTTGGCTGTGTCATAGCTCCGTTTGTTAACAGCATGGATCTGTCAGGAAAAAGTTTAAAACCACCACAGTTATCAGATTTCATATATTCAGCCTCAGACTTCACTCTTAGTTTGTGGTGCTTAGTGCATTCAGTGAGATATTTTGTTGTGATTTCCTGGTGACCCTCCAGAGTCCTGGGCGCACTGAGCATGTTTCATTTACAGTGACATTTACCTGACATTTGCCACTGATGTTTCAGACAGCTGCATATTTTTCAGATTTTTCAGCATTGTAGCTGCACTGATACTCAGAAATACAATGTGCAGCATACTGACAGTGTTCAGTTCAAATCACAACTTCATACCTCAATTATACTTTTTCCTGGAGATACTGGTGTGCCGTACAGGAACCCATTATCCTTGGGGTGCCTTTGGGTGAAGCGCAGCCACTCTGGGAGATCTGGGAAATTCTGCAGGTTGCACTTAAAAATTATGGGGTCATCGTGAAAATGACCAACTTTAAAACAACAAGAGAAGGAGAAAAGAGGAGAGGAGGATTACTGGAGTTTTGTTTAATAATGACAAGGTGGAGAATTAATATGATTCAGGCTCTTACCGTAGAGATGGGTCCTAGGGTCAATGTCACTCTGGAAAGTCTCTCTCATCAGCTCATATGTAAATAACCTCCCAGTAGGAATGGTAATTATGGTCTCCGCATTGGTGCCGAACACACTGACAGCACAAACTGTGTGGACGTGTAAAAATGAGCAAAAGATTTATGTGACAAAAAACCAAAGTGGATGACACACAACCTGATGTTGAAGTCAGATAATTAGGCCTACAAACCCCGACCACTGACATCATGAACACATATTTACACCAACTAACATAGAGCTGATACTGAAACAGGAGGATGGCCTAAGTCTGTTGTCATGCTACATGGAGTAAATAGAATGATTTCATGAAAAAACTTGCCTGTTAAAAAGAAGCACCAGTTCTCGCAGCCTGCCATCTTGTTTTGGTCTGTGATTGACGGAGCCAAATGGAGAGAGGCCTGGTCACAGCAGAAGACATGTCAGAGCTATTTTTGCCTCACTCACCTAACAGCATCTGCAAGGGTGTCCGAGCGTCTGACTGAGCGCTAAATCAGGAGCTGTGTTATGTTACACCTACTGGTGATATTCCAAATATTTAGTTACTTTAGGCATGAATTAAGTATAATTTGAGGTATTTTACTCAAGTGTTCTATTTTTCTACCACTTTGTATACTTTTACATCAAAAAAAAAAAAAATGAAGTGTGCAGCAAGAAATTGAAGTACAAGAAGATGCATAGTATAGTAACCTTAACCATAATGTTTTGTTTTATTTTAGCTTATTTTCATCTTCCATCTTACTCCTAATGCTATTTTATATATCTTTTTTAATATTAATTGGTTTCTTTCAGTAGTAGAAAACAACTAACTATTGCACTCCAGTGCAAATTTTAGGTACTTTTCATGCCAGCACTACATTTCAGAGTGAATTATTATACTTTTAATCTAATTCAGCTGTCGTTAATGGTTACTTTATAAATTAGGATGTTTACATGCATAAATACAAAGCTAATAAGGCTTTTTTGGATTAAACTATACAATCAGAGCTGGAAATGATTAGTTGATAAATTAAATTATATGTAATAATGTTCTCAATTCAGGATTTATTACTTGTAATAGAATATTTGAGTGATATTAGTACCTGAATATTTCCTCCACGCTAGTTTTTTTTAAATATTGTGTATTGTGAAAATAATACAAAGTGTATGGAAACAGAAAATATCACAAATAGTGGAAAAACAGCAATGAGTGTAACTTTATAGATTTACAGAATCACTTTACTCTTCATTTAGTATAAAGACAAATTAAGCTAATATACAGAGAAAAACAATTAATCATCTTACTGTTTCAGTATCAGTCTGTGCCACTTTGCTGTGCCAAGGACAGTTACACGCTGTTAAAACACCCTTAAGGGAAAGCTAGATGGCACTGCTGCTTCACTGAAAAACTGCTGTACATCATGTCTGACAGCAGCTGGCTTTTCAGCCCTTTCAAGAAATATTTGTCTAGTTATGTCCTTCAGACTAGACCTTCAGCTGCTGTGAGCTACAGTGGTTACTATGATAACACGGAAAGCCGATGACAGTTAACATGAAGAGTAGTCTGTTCATGCATCCATTATCTGTACTGCTTGAAACAGGGTCGCCAAACCCAGATGACATTGGGCGAGAGGCGGGGTCCACCCTGGACAGGTCACATAGGAAGTAGTCTGTTATTTTCTGTGTGAGCCAGCTGAGACAGTGACGGCCCTGTAAATAACCCGGCCTCTGTAAAAATGTGGAAACTGAGACGGCGTGGGAAGATTCAGGGGAATGCTTTGTCTACCTTCAGTGATAGTAATCGATGTATCCATCAGCACAGATGGAGAATGCAGGAAGCAACAATGTGGCCTGCAAATAAAAGACGTGTTATTGGCCAAGGAGGCTTGACGTGAATGGAGCTCTACTGGGTCCTAATGCCCGCCCAGGCTCTGACAGCCAGCCACCTCAGTTGGAGACTGCTAATATCCTCCAGTGGTAACAGGGTTTTACAGGCTGTTTATTTTTGTGAGAAACTGCTTGTGTATGTGGGGATGTCCTCAGGCAAATGTAGAAGTACTCCCTGGAGTATAGCTACGATTTCCCCTGGTTAGGAATCACTGAAGGCTATTAGATCCTTAACACGTAAGTAATGGTTATTATGGTTAATGCACTTCTGCTAAGGATCATAAATTAGGACTTGATGCAGCAGCCCGCCACAGTACCAGGCTCCTGTCGGAGGCGGACACTATGACCCGGCTGCTCCCTCCTCCATGCAGCAGCAGCGCTGTCGCCACCAGAGGAGGACGACAAATCTGCAGCTCACAGAATGAAGAGATCAAAATGATGCTGCCTGTAAAAAGGGATTAAACGGAAGCAATCTGTCGCCAGCTGTGGTAAATTTACCCCTCGATACTGTTTTACTTTTCTGCGCAAATATCTGAATGATTAATACAATTGTATGTGACGGTTAGGTTTGCATTGTTGTAACTGCAGGCGAGCTAATGACAGATGCATCGTGCTCACTTTCTCTCGTTGCATTGAACGAGAACTGCAGCGGATGCAAGCAGGCCTTTAATGCGATCTGCTGTTTTTGTTTCTCCCCATCTGCCGGTCTAGTCTGGGCGCCACCTCGCTAGGCTCGGCTGCTGGTGGATAACACAGATTTGCCACCAGGGGTTGCGAAAGGAGACATGCCGTCGCTGAGCACCCGTTGCGACGCTTGACTGACCATGATGAAGACCGAACCCACATCCAAGAGCACCGGCTCTGGTTCTACGCTCAGGAGCCCATCCCCGCACAGAAACGCGTACGAGGCGGGGATGCAGGCCCTGAAACCCGTCAAAGACAATGCTGCGAATGGGGACGTGCAGGAGGGCCCCCGAGGGCGCAGGTACGGCTCCAACGTGCACCGTATCAAAAACATGTTCCAGCAGATGCAGACAACATCTCCAGCCGATGCAGAAGGAGAGGACGGAGCCAGAAACGCTGACAAATCGGTACGCCTGTCCCTACCCAGAGCCGGGAGTCTGAATGAGAACGTGGACCACAGCGCGCTCCTGAAGCTCGGATCCACCGTGTCCGAGCGCGTCAGCAAGTTCGACACCAAATCGGAGAACGGGCACCAGCGGGCCTCGTCGCCCAGCTACTCCAAGCTGCAGGAGACCCGTCGCATCTTCGAACAGCAGCAGGAGAAGCAGCAGCAGGAGAAGCTGGGCACCCCCAGAGCTCCTCTTGAGGGCACCAGTGAGGCGGTGTCCCCTACAGTCAGCCAGCTCAGCGCTGTGTTTGAACGGGCAGCAGAGCTCCGGAACAACCTCCACCGCCTTTCCTCTACCCCACCGCTCCCTTCCCGAGGGGTCAGCGCCAAGGTGGGCGTATTGAACTCCAAAATAATCACAAAGAAGGTTAGTGCCTTTGCAGCAGGCAACCAGGAAGAAGAGAAAAGCAATCAGAAGGGCCAAGAGGGGCCTCCAAGGGGCCCCAGGGGGAGGGTAACTCCCCCTTCTGAAAGCATTAATGGAGGCCAGAGTGTTGGCCAAAACACACCTGAACTTTACAGTACTGTAGGGGAGCCAAATGAAAAGACAGTTTCAGATGCAGGCGTTGAGGCCAAAGCTAAGGAACACTCTGGGGCCACGGAGCCTAGCAGCACAACACTGCAAGGTGACATCCGCATCTCTGTGGAGAATGGAGAAGCTGTTGCTGAGAAGCAGAGCTCTTCAAAGGGAGGAGATGTGCTCAGGCAGGAGGGGGAGACGGCCGAGGATGCAGAGGAGGAAGACAGGACTCTCAGAGATGACCAGTCAGGCTGTAACTCTGTAGATATCAGTACCTACAGCACAGTGGGGGAGGAGTTTGGAGGAAGCCAGGTAGATGAGGAAGAAGATGAGGGTGATGATCGCTATGAACCTGAGTCCAGCTGTGTGGAGATCGCTGGGCTGCCTGTGGAGGAGGACCCACCCCCTTCCAGGAAGATTCGTTTCAGCATGGAGCCCATCAAGGTGAGGAGAAAACACACAAATGAATATTGTAGGTAGAACATGAGGATACTTGTTTTGCAGACTCTGCCCTCAGAGTCTTGTTTATTTAGGCTGAGAGGCTGATTTGGTTTGTTGTAGTTGTTGAACTTGACCCCAAAGCTTATCCACTATGGTATAGTCATAGCCAGCGCCCCTATAGAACTGGGATGCTGATACTATTCTGAAATGTAGTGGAAGCTGCTACTGTAAATAATTGCTGGAGGAAATAGGATCAAAATGGCCTGGGTGATTAGTCCTGTATATAGAGAAGTGCATACTCCATGGCCACGGTCAATGAGCGGTCAGTGGACAGTATGTGGGGAATGTAATATTTTTGTGTGTGTGAGAAAGAGGAAGAGAGAAAAGACACTGTGATCTCTTCTTGGACCAGTGAGATGAGAGAAGAGGAGAGACAAGGAGGAGGAGGTAGAGCTGATTTAAAACGTCTCTCTGTGTCTGGGGGTGGTGTAATGATCCGGAGAAGAGCATCAGATCCTCTGCAGCTCAGTCTCGCTGCTGTGCTCTGCCTTGAGATCTGAGGCATACAGAGACTGCAGGCTAACGTGAACCCTGACACTGTACATCACACACATTCCCTCACACAGCCATTACACAGACTAAGAGGCATGGTAGTGTGGAATGTGGTTTTCCTGGTGATAATTAGATGATTAGACACCACTTGAGTCTTTATGGTAAGTGTGCTGTGCTACAACTGGCAGGCTGTTTGCTTAGCACAGCACAAACACGGGCAGTAAGAAACTCAGCGCCTCTGAAGCTCTAAGTGTATTCCCCAGATTGTTAATGTCTTAACCAAGATGACAGTAATAACATATTTAAAGCACCTAAATTGTCTATAAAGTAAATTTTATTAGTTGTGATTGTGGTTGCAGTCCCCATGTTGAAGTGACCTTGGGCACGACACTGAACCCCTAGTTGGCGCCGCAGATGGCTGCCTTGGTTCTGTACTGGAAACAGATTCCTTGTGTGTGCAACATACTTGGCCAAAAAAGTGGTTATCATTCTAAGTTGCTATTTAATAACACTTCTTAAGTTGTTCAGTTCAGATTGCTGCTTGAAAATGCGTGACATCACAACATAGCCAAACCACCTCAAACTACAGAAACACAAAGCAAATGTATCACAAAAATAATCTATATTGCTCAAAAAGTGAGAGTATTATTGAGAAAACTGGTTTCGGAGCTTTTAACAGTAAACAGGACTGTACGAAGCGCTAGTAAATGTCTCGGGAAATGAAAGTCACCTTGTGGAGTCACGATGTTCATTACTGACAACAGTTTCAAACTGTTCCATTGAGTGACAGCGGTTGGTTGTAATGCACCGAGAAACGTTACAATTCATCAGCTAAAGACAGAGGAGGAGATTACTAGACAACGAGTGTGAGTATGGATATTAACAATGAAGGCTACAAAATATCTTTAAAAAAAAATCTGCTTCGAGGAAGGAAATGCTTTCAACATGTTTGTCAGGCCTCAAAGATGCACGCTGTGTGTTTTGTTGAGAAATACAGTAAAAATAACTCCAAAGGGGTCTAAAAATGTCTACAAATAAAAACAGAATTATTAAAAAAAAACATGAAATTCAGCCACAAAACAGCTCTATGGAGTGTGTGTGACTTATCTCTGATTAGCTATTGTTAATGTCTACACAGTCTGGACGGAAGTCAACTGTCTCTACCATCCTGAAAATCCCATGAATACCATATACATCAGGCCTGAGCTTTGCATGTGTGATGCAGAAGGAAAAGGAAGGACAGACTACTGTCACATTATTTTATCCTCATTAGATCAAAGATGGGCTTAGCAGGAGGAAACATTATGTGCTAAAGAAGTTATAACTCAAAGGCTTTGAGAAAAAGCAGAATTTGGCTGTGACCCTGCAGCCAGCATCAGAGAACAACCTCCTGCTGAGTTCTTTCACACTATATCAGTGTGGCCTTTGTTATGGAGATGGATGCAGGGTTGGATAAGAGTAGAGTGTGTGTGTGTCGGTGGGGGGTGGGGGCATATTATGCAGCTCAAATGTCACGCTACTGTATAACTGCCAGATCTCTTCCAAACAGGAAGTGTCCGTTTGTAGTGCATATTTCCCCTCTGTGCAACAGTTCAGCCTTTGGCCACAATTAAGCCTTGTTGTGGTGGCGGTTGGATGTCAGGGCACATGTCTTTCTTTGTCCTGCTTTTAAACTGAGTGCTCCTCTCTGTCTGCCTGTCCTCTCAAATTGGCAAAAGTAGCACTTCAGCTTCGGGTGGAGTTCACACTAGACCCGTTGTTTGCTCCTCCTTACACTCTCTCTCGCGCTCTTTCTTTCCTCCCTTTTGCTCTTTGTCACCAGTCTCCTACTGGTAGTAAAAATAGCAGTGTTGTTATCGTCACCGACTTGCCTCGCTTTTCAGGGCCACCTTCTTGTTGAGCACAGGAAGCTGCCTCTCATGTCTTATTTATTTGTTTGGTGTGTTTGTTTTGGCGTCATGCTGTATCACTCAGTAGCAGCACACTAAAAGAGGGTTAGATAATCCCATCTGGATTTATAGTATTCCCTTCAAACCAGTATTATTTTTTATACACCAGAATCACCTTGCTCACTCATCACTTTGCCCACTCTTGCACCGCCCTCCATCACCACACACACACACACACACACACACACACACTCACTTCCTCGTGTGTTTCTGCTGCCTACACAACTCTGAACAGCAGTCCTGGCAGCCTGGCCAAAGAACAAATATGATTTTCTTTCACCCTGTATCATTAACACAAACAGTGATTGTTCTTATATTATCATACACGGAGGGTGTTGAATTATGACAAGCATAGAAGGCGGAATTAGTTTTAATGTTGCACACAAACTGCAAAGTGGAGACTACCCAAAATGCAACCTTTGGTGGTTTATGTTTAGGTCAGCCAATCAGGGATTGCCCAGGGAGACACAACATACAGTGGGTACAGAAAGTATTCAGACCCCCTTAAATTTTTCACTCTTTGTTATATTGCAGCCATATGCTAAAATCATTTAAGTTCATTTTTTCCCTCATTAATGTACACACAGCACCCCATATTGACAGAAAAACACAGAATTTTTGACATTTTTGCAGATTTATTAAAAAAGAAAAACTGAAATATCACATGGTCATAAGTATTCAGACCCTTTGCTGTGACACTCATATATTTAACTTAGGTGCTGTCCATTTCTTCTGATCATCCCTGAGATGGTTCTACACCTTCATTTGAGTCCAACTGTGTTTGATTATACTGATTGGATGTGATTAGGAAAGCCACACACCTGCCCATATAAGACCCTACAGCTCACAGTGCATGTCAGAGCAAATGAGAATCATGAGGTCAAAGGAACTGCCTGAAGAGCTCAGAGACAGAATTGTGGCAAGGCACAGATCTGGCCAAGGTTAAAAAAAAAATTTCTGCTGCACTTAAGGTTCCTAAGAGCACAGTGACCTCCATAATCCTTAAATGGAAGACGTTTGGGACGACCAGAACCCTTCCTAGAGCTGGCCGTCCGGCCAAACTGAGCTATCAGGGGAGAAGAGCCTTGGTGAGAGAGGTACAGAAGAACCCAAAGATGACTGTGGCTGAGCTCCAGAGATGCAGTCGGGAGATGGGAGAAAGTTGTAAAAAGTCAACCATCACTGCAGCCCTCCACCAGTCGGGGCTTTAGGGCAGAGTGCCCCGACGGAAGCCTCTCCTCAGTGCAAGACACATGAAAGCCCGCATGGAGTTTGCTAAAAAACACATGAAGGACTCCAAGATTGTGAGAAATAAGATTCTTTGGTCTGATGAGACCAAGATAGAACTTTTTGGCCTTAATTCTAAGCGGTACGTGTGGAGAAATCCAGGCACTGCTCATCACCTGTCCAATACAGTCCCAACAGTGAAGCATGGTGGTGGCAGCATCATGCTATAGGGGTGTTTTTCAGCTGCAGGGACAGGACGACTGGTTGCAATCGAGGGAAGGATGAATGCGGCCAAGTACAGGGATATCCTGGACGAAAACCTGCTCCAGAGTGCTCAGGACCTCAGAATGGGCCAAAGGTTCACCTTCCAACAAGACAATGACCCTAAGCACACAGCTAAAATAACGAAGGAGTGGCTGCACAACAACTCCGTGACTGTTCTTGAATGGCCCAGCCAGAGCCCTGACTTAAACCCAATTGAGCATCTCTGGAGAAACCTGAAAATTGGCTGTCCACCAATGTTTACCATCCAACCTGACAGAACTGGAGAGGATCTGCAAGGAGGAATGGCAGAGGATCCCCAAATGCAGGTGTGAAAAACTTGTTGCATCATTCCCAAAAAGACTCATGGCTGTATTAGCTCAAAAGGGTGCTTCTACTAAATACTGAGCAAAGGGTCTGAATACTTATGACCATGTGATATTTCAGTTTTTCTTTTTTAATAAATCTGCAAAAATGTCAAATTCTGTGTTTTTCTGTCAATATGGGGTGCTGTGTGTACATTAATGAGGAAAAAAATGAACTTAAATGATTTTAGCATATGGCTGCAATATAACAAAGAGTGAAAAATTTAAGGGGGTCTGAATACTTTCCATACCCCCTGTATCATCATACTGCATGTCAAGGTATCCTCCAGCTGTCTATTACTTAGACAAAGTGGGCCTGCAGTATTGCATACAATGCAGTATTCACAGCCAGGAGGAGTGGGAGGCCAGACAGATTATCAGCAAGTTCACTCTGCCCCACTTCTCAGTCCTGCAGTGGAGGTGGGTTGCAAGCGTTTACCGTACATGATGTGCCCACTCACTCAGGTCACTGTGACAAGCCACGTTATGCAACATGTCACTCATGATGCCTGAGTGTTGGTCTGTCTTGTCTGACTGCCATCATCTTGTCAAGCTGACACTGCGGCTGTACTGTACTGGAGTGGTGACGTTTCAGAAACATCTTTATTGCTCGCTCTCTAGTTAGATAGAATAGTTATTACATATCTATATGTATTGCAGCAGCACAATAATAAGTAAAGATGTGTGCAAACTAAGATGAAATTAGCAGAACTGTGTACATGAATATTCTTATGTGCAAAAATAGATAATACATACAGTATGAAACTTACATATATAGAAAGATATAAAATGCATTTTTATGTTAGTGACAAAGCTGTTGTATAAAAAGTATAATGCAAATTACAATAATAATGTAAATAATATGAATAACCTAAAGGTCTATACAGTAATGTACCAAAGTTATAAAACATTATGCAGCTATATCATTGTTGTTTCCATCCATATACTGTAGTGCTATTCAGTCCTCTGATGCTGACCTTATTCTCAGGCTGCCGTGTCTCTCCACAGGGTTAATGCTAAGCCTAAATGTGATGCGCTGACCAAAGACTGACCTGCCAAAATAGTCAGGCTCTGGTGCTATGTAACCATTACTGTGACAAAACCACCATATCCATTTTACTGGCTGGAGGACAGCGGTCCAACATTATGGCAGCCAGGGCCATATCCTTATTTATTTCTGCATGTTGCACATCTGGGATCTGTATTAACCTCACATTTTAGAGGGATTTAGAAGCAATTACCTGCCACTTCTGGACCTGCGGTGGCCGGGAAGGCAGTTAATGGTGGTGTCATTAAATTGGAAAAGAGGAAAAAAGTGCTTCTTTTGCTTTACATATGCTTTAACTTTGACAGCTTGTTTAAGCATCACACATGTGTTTTGATCACATATACACAGAACAGTGTTGCACACACAGCCAGTAAGAGCAGCCATTTCACAGATCGCACAGTATGCACGGTAATCACTTTAAATCATAATGTAGAACTGCAGAGCAGCAGTGAAGATCACATGTCTGAAACCAATTGAAAGAATAGCAAGAATAGCAGGAGTAATAAAAATGATGGAAAGTTGGGTGCTACAGAATGTGGAGAGACAGAGTGGAAACACTATTTCTGTTGTGAAAAACCAATGCCACCACCTACACACATTCTATTGGCTTAATCCAAAATTGGATCTGTTTTTGGAGAGTCCAGGAGGGAAAGAAGCACAGCAGTTGACATGCTACTGTGGGCCGTGGGGGGAGGGGATGGGGTACTGACTTGCTGGTTAAACCACCACACTGTAGCCTGGGGGTCTTCAAGATGGAGCCACACTGCAGGAGAGCAGAGGCCTCTGGAGCAGCTCTGTCATTTAGCCATCTCACGGCAACTGCACTGTAGAATGGTAGTTGTCACTTACTGGCTGCTTTAATACCCTTTACAGTCCCAAGTGGGTGCTCTTCCTAGACACAACACAATCTGTTAGCTGGTGAGTGGCTCTAGCTAGCTGCCCACAGAGCTTTTGTAGGACATCCCAGGCGGCTGGGAGCAGAGGGAGGGAGGGAGTTTCCTGGCCATCTGTTAGCTCCTCTGACCTACTATCTGCCACAACTGGAACAGCGTCCTTCTCCAGCCCTGCCCACCCCACCACCACCCTGCCTTTAATCCCAGTGTTTGTCTTCCAAAGACAGACACCTCACCATTTGACTTCTGCTACTGCTTAGGTGAGGTTTGGGTGAAAGTGCAGGATCCAATTAGTCTTTCTGCCCTGTGTGATATCATTGCTCATAAGGAGGGAAAAAAATCTTCCCAGAAGTGAAAGTGTTAATTCTGCGTTAGTGAAGGCAAGATCGTAGCCTTGCTGCATTGTGGCCCAAGGCCACAGATCACAATATTCATCTGATCACAGCAGTGCCATGCTACATACAGCTGAACCTCCCCATTTGATCTTCTGCAGCATAGTGGGCCACAGGCCACCAGCTGTGGCCTCTTGATCTTTAAACTCAGAAGCGGTGCCACGTGAGAGTGTCAGACAGGCACGCAAGCTTGGAACACACTGTTGTTTAATGCTCTGTTACTCAGGATGCAAAAAGTATTTCATGTGTCTGTAATCCACAGTCTGCTAATCCCTCTAAATACAAAGGTAACCTAAATCAAAAGCCATTAGTCTTCAGTGCTGCCCCCATCAGCAGTAGGTTTAGGTTGATTTTGATTGACTTAATACTAAGTGCTAACTGAATATGGAATTCAAATAATGTCACTAAGGTAGAACCTAACCAGCAGCTCTAGAGCTCACAATGAACACATTTCATCTCATAATTGTTGTCTGTATGTGTTTCTGGTGGTTCAGGAAGTTACGGTGACTGTCCAAGAAATAGGTAAAATAGTTTTTTATGGACTGTGTGTTAATTATTCAGCTTTAGAGGTGCTGGTTGGACAGGGTTAGGGTTAGGGTCTTTATACACAGGTGTCATATTGATCTTCTCATTTTAAGAAACCAAAGGGTCTCATTTTCCAAAATACTGAACTAATTCTTTAAATCCCTGTTTGTGAAGTAATCAATAAATTTTGTAAATGTTAGCACAAAATAAAAAAAAACTTTTTTTTTTTTTTTTTTTTACTGTGAATTAACTGAACTCTAATGCAGAGGTTGTGTTTGAATTTGAGAAAAATTTGGGCTTTATCATCAGTTGTGTGAACGGACAGTGATTTAACTCAAGGTGAAAATATTTTTATACTCTATTCCTATGGGCAAAGGCAGATTATAAGTAGAAGCAGAAGCTTTACAGTGTTCAATGACACAAAAAAATGGTTCTAAGTCTCAGATGTGAAGGGCTGTTTACATTTTAAAGGCAGTGTCAAAGACTGACAGGCTCTTTACTGTGGGGTTGCTAGGGAGACGGGGCCCGTTCGACTGAAGGGTAGCAACTCAAGCTACGAGATGCTACTTTGTAACACAGATGGACAAACTAATCGGCCGAGGGAGAAGCGAGAGATACACAGAATAAACAGGGACTCAAGAAGAAAAGTGTTAAAATGTTGCAGCAGAAGGAACAAAGCATTGTGGAGAGAGAAGTCTGAAAGAATGTGTGAAAGGGAGAAGGTCCAGCACTGAATTAGCGCAGCTAGTGGAATATGCAAGCATGCATAATTACCTTGGAGGACTGAAAGTAAGGCTTGTAAAGATTCGGCTTACATTGTGTGCGTGTGTGTGAGGCGTGTGAACAGCAGCTGCAGAAAGCCTCCATTAGCATGCTGAAGGTGGTTATGTAAACGGTCATGCTGTTAGACCAGAGTGAATGTGGGAAGTCGGGCTCTGAAAACAGAGGCCTCTGTCTTCATAGGAGCAACTTGAGTGGTTGTGATTGATTCTCCCCCAGTGTGTTCCATAGACATAACGCTGTGAGGTGATACAGCTCCGAAGCCTTGAGGAAACTCTGCGGCCGTCTCAGTTGAAATGGTCGATAAATCTGAATTGCAATATGTCTGCATTAACAGTGGTGGTCAGTTATGATCAAATCATGCATCCAGCTTTTCCGCATACATCTCCACAGCCTCTGAGTTTTTTTTTTTAAATAATGAGCTGCAATCATTTGGGAATTCCAAAAATTAAGCCTTTTTAAATACGGAATAAACAGCTTTATATCTGTGACCGCTCCTTGAGCTACTACCCAAACATGACAGAAAATAAAAGCTGAATTGAGTTCAGTAATTTCTTCACTAAATACGTCATGTAGTTAAGTGACAACTTGCAACATTTCTGTGTTTCTTTCACAAATGTTTCAACATTTACCACACCCCCAAGGTGCACAGGAACTAATGAGTTTCATGTTTTCAGTAGCAGACACAGTACTATATTTAGAGGAACTGTAAGAAGAACTGTGTAGTGGGGCTAAATAGTGATAAGCAACCATGGCTGCAAAGAAAAGAAAGGGGCACCTACAGAAAAGTGAATTTCTGGAGATGTTACCACCTTTGGACAGTGTAAAAAACACAGCACACAAGATCAGTTAGCACCATAGAGGGGACTTTTTAGAAGCCTCACGCATTGTCATTTTCACACTTAAGCTGTTGAGTGGATAAGGAAACTGGGATATAATGTGCTAATTAGTGATGACTAAAGGTACAAATTTTAAACCTTTGGGAAGAGTCAGACTAGCTGTTTCCCCATTTCCCATCTGTGCTAAGCTAGCTGTCTCCTGGCTTTACTTTCATATTCAGTGTATACACAGGAGACTGATTTCAGTCCCGTCATTGAGAAAATCAGAAATATCTCCAAGTTTATGTAGAAATACAAAAAAAAATAATTTTGCCTTTCACAGATTTCAATAAAGAGGCATCAGTGTTTCTGAGTCTCAGTCGGACCCTGTGTCTCTGTGTCCTCCTGCAGGTGTTTGCCACTTACCCCAACGAGGACTATGACAGGCGTAATGAAGATGTAGATCCCATGGCAGCATCTGCTGAATACGAGCTGGAGAAGAGGGTGGAGAGGCTGGACCTGTTCCCCGTCGAGCTGGAGAAAGGTACTGAACATGAACACTCTCTGCTCCGAGTGTATGTCTGCAAACAGACATAGGTCTGTGAACAAAAGTCCTGGGATTGGTCATAAATCCTTTAAATAATAAAGCACTTCATATAATCTTGCTGGGGCACTGAGAGGTTGGTTTGCACTGTATTAGGAAACAGAGTAGAAGACATTTTACATCATCAGAAAGGCATTTGAAAATGAGTTGTGGTATATCAAATTAACTTCCTACTGAACAGTCTGGACTAGACTTAATTTATGTCTTTGTAATCTTATATTTGTTTATGTGTTATGTAAAAAGGCCTTCAGTGTTCACAGGCTGCTTCTTCCAACCATCCTGTTTCCCACAAGGTAAAAAGTGCAATGATGCAGGTTGCACCTTCTATATTTCCCCAGTGAGCCACACTTCCAGCATCTCTTCAACATTATGATGCATAAGGACTATATTTAGAATTATGTACAGGGCCGGTTACACAGGAAACCATGTGTGAACATGTTCTGTATATATGATGCATGTACTGTCTACATTAATTTAGAAAGGATAAAACATAAACTTTAATTATTGGTCCAAAAGAGTAAAGAGTGAAACTGTGCTCACAAATTAAAAACTAGCTCAGAACATTAACACATCACTGTAGGTGTTATCACTGATTCTGAAACAGTGCTCACAAATTAATTGTCTATTTCCGCACATTCTACCTCAGGCAGGAAGTCTGGGTGTTATCTCTGATTCTCATCTAACTTTCATGTCACACATAAAGAACCTAACTAAGATAGCATTATATTATTTCACAATTATATGACAGTCGGACCCTTTCTTTATCTTTGAGGTATGACGAAACTTGTGCATGCTTTTATTACAGCTCATACAGAATTCTGTCAGTTTGAAAATATACAAAGAAAAGGGCTCACATCACTCCTGACCCTAATGTAGCTTCAGGTTTTTCTTAGGATAGATTTAAAATCTGACTGCTAGTTCAGAAATGGTTTCAGGGACTTGCCCTTGACTTCGTGGTTAATATGCTGCATAGATACGTGACATGTCCCTGGGTAGACCCCTTCAAATCCACAGGCTATGCTGCTCAAATAGAGCATATCAAAGAAAATCCAAACTCAGAAACAGATTCTCTGCTGGATCTGAGGACAGCCAAGGCTAAAAAGTCACCTTCCAGCTTTGTTTTTACCTGTCATTTGTTATTATTGGTCCGCTGCTATGTACACTTCTGCTCAGTTATTTAATTGAAAATTTTATTTCTTAACTTCCTTCTTCCTTTCTGCATTTAAAATCTTTAACTGTGTAAATTGTCTGCTCTTTCCTTCTAATCGTTTTAATGTTAAGCACTCTGAGCTGCAGTTCTTGTATAGCAAATGTGAAGTTACAGTGATGTAACTTCACATTTGCGTTGTGTTGAATGTTGGGACAGGGCCGTCATCTTTGGAGGTACACGCTGTATTAACCTGCAAACATTCTTATTTTGTTTGCAGAAAAAAATTCTTAATTTAAGATGTATAAACGTAGCTGACTGTAGCTAACTTGGAGAGCGACAGACAGAAAAATGACTGTTGACAGATAACACAAACACTTCAGAATAATCCATTTCTGTCCTGTCTGTGCTCAAATTGAACACTAAAGTGGACGTTTGGACGTAGATGAATCATCCGTTACTGTAGTATGGGATAGTATTTATTTTTTTAAATTAACTTAACTCTGTAACGTACTGTATATACCTATGATTGATCATGAATGTGACACTCCAAACATTGGCATGATGTAGACTTCACATTTTCTATAAAGGGGGTAAATAAAGTTCATTTGTCTTGATACACCGTACGGCATTACAGTGCAGTGCATACCGCAGATTGTACTTCAGTGATATCAGTATATTAGCTTGCATGCTGTTACAGTAGAATCACTTAAAGGTACCCTGTGGAGTTTTTGACCAACAGCGCTATGCAGCAGTGTTTTTATGAGTGTGGTGGTGTTTCTGCTGCACATAAGGCAGATGCATGCAGACAGTACAATGCATAATCATGCTGCCACGCAATTACACTAAATGACAGTTGGCTTTTCTGCCAAAAAAAATGTAGGACTGCATGAACAAAGGCAGCGAAGACGAAGACCACTAGCAAGCAAACATGGATGTAAACAGTAGTCAAAAATGGGCACTGTGAATGTTTTATGAGGGAGGAAATGTATTGTCAGGCCGCAACACATACAGTGTGCTTTGGTGAGTAACAGTGAATGGAAACATAACAGTTTGTTTACAAGAAAACTCCACAGGGTGTCACTTCATTTTGAATCTCATCTGTGGTAAAGGGAAAGGAGCAAGCACTGTTGAATTCAAACTCTCCACCCAAATTTATTCTGATTGTCCAGGGAAGGAACCGGAAATCTTCCACTCTCATGGTCAGCAATTTGAAATTAGTCCACAGCTGCAAATTATTTCCAAACAATTAAATCCCAAGGATGGTAACATTCAAAGCCATGTTTTCCACCCACAGAGATGTGGTACAGTAACGGGCACATGGCTGACTCACTGTAACATGACAGTAGAACATTAGCAGTATGGTAACAGCTGGTCTGGTATTCCTTACCTTCTTTCAGATGGCGATGGCTTGGGCATCAGTATCATCGGGATGGGTGCGGGGGCTGACATGGGCCTGGAGAAGCTGGGCATCTTTGTCAAGACAGTCACAGAAGGGGGAGCAGCACACAGAGATGGCAGGCATGTTCAATTCTTATTGGATCATACTCATTCCTCATCTGTTGTAGACACATATATTGTATAAATGAAACAGCCCCAAACTGTATGTAACTGGAAAGGCTTTTGCTTTGTAAGCTATATGTCAACATGAGGTCAGCTGAGTAGTTGTAGTTTTATTTCCAGGAGTGGATGCTTCATTGTCCTACTTGTATATTTTGATTCCTGGCAACTGCAAATACAGTAGGTCTTGCTGCCAAAACAAAGACTTTAAATGGAGTTTGGCTTGCGTGGGCTGAAGTATAAAAATGATGAACAGAGGCCACAGTTGAGCTGTTACTGTAAATCCTAAATGACCTCTGTTAACTGTTTCCTCCAGGATCCAGGTGAACGATTTGATTGTGGAGGTGGACGGGACCAGTTTGGTGGGCGTCACCCAGAGCTTTGCTGCCTCCGTACTCAGGAACACCTCAGGAACTGTCAAGTAAGAGGCACTCTGAAGGGTCATTATTTTACTGCAATTGTTTAGACACATTTTAACATCAGTACATGCAAATTATCCAAATATCAGTCTAGTTTTTATTTAGTGTAATAGGGAGGGCAGTGTTGGTCGGTCAGTCCACCACTTTGGCCCAGAAAGAGCTCACAGTGCTCAGAGCTGTGATGGATTTCCATCACATTTTGTACATCCATGGTGCCCAGAAGATGAATCCCACTGACTTGGTGTGGCTGACTTTGTTGTTATTTTTGAAATATGTTAACAAGCATAGGACGGATCGCTATGAAATTTAGTACCATTATCCATGGTCTCCTCGGGATGAATTGTAGTGACTTTGGTGCTTTTTTAGTTTTTTTCTCTTAACACCAACATCAGGTCAAACATGTTAATGTGTCCAGTCCTAACATGCTAAACTAAAATGGTGAACATAGTAAACATTGCCTGCTAAACACGCGTTATCTTTGTGAATGTTAGCATTTAGCTCAAACTGCCGTGTTCTTGGTTAAAGCTACCATATGTAATTTTATGTGTCACTTAACTACGAACCCCAGGCTAGCACTAGCTTGACTGTAGCTTTAAATGTATTTTTAGTGACAGTTGTGTATTTCCTTTGGGTTTGTTATACACCTTAACTGTGACCAAGGCATCATTTTATTTCATCCTCCGTTGCCACAGCTCGCTGTGACATGCAGCGTTCTTGCTTGAAGAGATGTTTTTCCTCTTGATTCATAGCCACAGTCAGTCATACATGCAGGGCTTGCTTATACCACATCCTGGCCATTCAGCTCACCAGAATGTAGATTCCCAGGTCACACGGGGTCATGATTAGAATCCTTCAGTACTGAAAAGGTCCTTTTGGAGACATTTTGAAAAAGGTCCAAAGAATTCGACCTTAGAGTGACAGAAACTGTTCTTATCAGGAGCAAATACACTCGGCATCAGAAGTATCATTTTGAAATGCCAGAGGACTAGCCTGGCTCTTTGGCATTCTGGGGGAGCTGACTGTTCCCTGCGTGCTCCTTTTGTCATCTATGCTCATTCATAATTCAGGGTTTAATGGTCAGTGCTGGAGTAATTGTTAGTGTTGTGACTTGTGAAGATCAGAAACCTCCATAGATAGTTTATACTTTATGGATCTGCTGCAGGAATAGCAAATGGTACCAGAGCTCAGCGCCAAATACATGGGGCCAGGAAGTGTGTTTGTGAACATTTAAATACCCGTTAGTGACACAGAAATTGAAAGGCTGCAGCGGCTGGCTTAATAACCATCTGTGGCTTCGTCATGATTCACTCTACTTTTCCTGTGCACCGTTTACACAGTGGCTTTAATTGGAGGAAATTGTGTGAGCCTCATTCATACAACAAGCTAAATGAGATAGATTTGAGAGTTTGATTTTAATCATGGAAGAGGCCAGCTCCACAGAGACTGCATTTGTTCAGCTCTAAACAGGAAGCCATTTTCTGTCCTCAGAGAGCTAGTGCGTTCTTTACTGCATTAATACATGCCACTATATCACTGTAAACTGTGCATTATATATTAGAAACACATTCTTTGTCCTTTAGGGGCCAGCATTTATGTTCCTCACAAGAAAAATAAAGGCTCTTCTGTAACATACTGTATAAGATAAATGATTTTCACTTCAGGGGTTAGCGATTTGTCAGATGTTTGAACTGAACTGTCAAAATACAGGTTTGTGATTGGGCGAGAGAAGCCGGGTGAACAGAGCGAAGTGGCCCAGCTCATCCAGCAGACCCTGGAGCAGGAACGCTGGCAGAGGGAGATGATGGAGCAGCGCTACAACCAGTATATGGACGAACAAGAGGTCAGTCTTCACATTACTGAGGATGTAGGATCCAGCTGGCTGAACTGTATGTTTTCTCATTCTTGAGTCAGTGGTGGTGCATTGTCTGCACATGCATGGTGCAGAAGATATGGTGCAATGCTTACTAATCCATTTCCTTCCTTCCCTGTACGCACCCATTACTGCAATAAAATTAACAGATTTTTAAGGAATAGTTGGAATATTTAGGCTGCTGTCTTTGAAATTCTTACTAGAAAAATTTTAAACTCAAACACACCATGTGAGTAGTGTGACTTTTCTTTACAGTTCAGTTGTTCTCTTGACAGTAATTAGACAGGATCAGTTGCAGTTTGTTAAATTTAAGGTAAGAAGAGAATAAATGTGGCATAAGTTATTAATAAAGTGTTACAGCTGCCAAACAGTCCTACACCCGACACACAGCTAAACAGCATTACAGTAACCTTTTCAACCTGTTCAGGCACAAAATGCTGCCTTAAACTCAATCATTTGACAGCCCCAGTACCATTGTGAACAAAACAGACACTTTGGTGTGGCTGAGTTGTAGCTTCTGGCAAAAAGCTACACTGCTGTATCCAGCACCACTCTGATCAAATGATGAGCTTATCTCTAAAATGGGGACAAATGAGGATGACTCAGATTTGGTGACCCTACATGCTCTGTTGCATTGTTAATCTTGGTGTCTCAGATTTTCTCTGTCCTGAAGTTTTACATAAATAGAGCACATGTTTAAAAAATGCCCGTAGTTTCATTATAATGACAAAGAGGAAGTTGCTCCATTCATGCAGTGGTGATGTTGGGTGGTTCTTGAAAAGCATTAGGTTGTATAATGGAAAGTATAATCTGTTCTTACTGAGTTTTACACCATCTAGTGTCCATTTGGTGTTAGGGCACAAAAACTATGTGCTTTTAATGGCACCATTAAATGACTGCTTCTCTGTCTTCTCCTGTTTTCTGACATTTTATTCAAACATTTAACAAGAAATGTTAGAAATCCCAGAATTGCAGTACATCTAAAAACAAAATCTTCCCTTTGCAAATGCCATAGATCTGCAGCTTTCTCTAGATGATTCTGGTTTGAACTTTAAAAGGATCCTCCACACACATTATGATGTAACATTAAACATAGAACATATTTCCTCATGTACGTCTACTCACCTCTGGTACCCAGTCATGCAGACAGTTTTATCTTTATTTGCCTAGGGTGGTGAATATGGCACAGATGAGGAAGAGGATGAAGAAGAAGAGGTCAGTCCGCCGTATCCCAGTGCCATCGAAGTGTTTGACTTGGCGGAGAATGAGGACATGTCGCCTCTGGAGACAGACCCTGAGAAACTGGCCCATAAATACAAAGAGGTGATCAGTTGTCTCTTTAACTGGAACATTTCCAGTGTAATCACAGCATATTTCCTCACATGTACCTAATATTAACACATGTATTTAAAACTGTCATCTCTCTTTGCTGTAAAGCTCCAAATAAAGCATGCTGTGACTCAGGCTGAAATCCAGCAGCTGAAAAGAAAGGTAAGGTGTTAAATTAAGATCATACTGAATGTTATTTTAAGAATCAGAGGTGTGTCCATTTATTGTCTTTACTGTCTTCACCTGTCTTTGCAGCTGCATCATGCGGAGCAGGAGAAGCAACGCTGGCGAATGGATAAGGCCCAGCTGGAACAGACCCTGCAGGAGAACAAGGAGCGTATGGAGAAGCTGGAGGGCTACTGGATGGAAGCTCAGAGCCTGTGCCAGGCAGTGGACGAGCACCTGAAGGAAACACAGGCCCAGTATCAAGCCCTGGAGCGCAAGTACAGCAAAGCCAAACGCCTGATCAAGGAATATCAGCAGAAGTAAGTGTTTTGTCGCACAAATGAGAGCTAGCTGTTACATTTGAGCTGAACAGTCTGACACTGCGATCTGCTACTTTAATAGGGAGATTGAGTACCTGAAGAAGGAGACCCAGCGTTGTGCACAAGTTGGGGCTGAGGCCTCTCTTCTGAAAGAGGAGTCTGGACAACTCCAGGAACAGGTAATGGAGGTGGTTACATTGCTAATATTCTTAGCTTTTCCCTGTAAACAGTGGTGAGTCTGAACAAGCACTGTAAACTGTTCTTATTCTCAGAGTTTCTGACTGTCCTTCTTTTTCCATAATGCTGTCCCTTTGAATGAAATTAACTGCATGAAAATCTCTCCGCTGTTAGTCACATAGAACTTTTAATTGATTTGTTAAAATTTAGTTGCAGCTTGAGGCGGTAACTTATTTTTTCAGCACTCATGAGAACAGTTTGGCACGAAACAGCTTTTTCACTTGTGGCATTTATACAAACTTCTAACAATAACAACAAAACCTCCGAAGACCAAATTTAATCAGCGTGTTGCATTAGTTATTAAAAGCCTGTAAATCTGACTCACTTCAGCATGCATGTGATATTTAAATGGAAAATATTTGTATAGTTGCCAGCAATATAAGAATATGTAAGAAATGGATAGAATAAATCAACATAAATTAGACCAAAACACACATATTTGTATCAGTTCAGGCAACTGAGTTCAGACTTTTGGGCTTCTGTACTGTTCAGAAACTTATATTCATGACTGCATTTTCTCTCTCTTCTCTAGGTGGCTGACCTGGAGTGCAGGGTCGAGGAGCTTAAATCTGAACCTTTATAAAAGCCTTTTTCCATTACATATCTCATGAAAGAACTTCACCAGGTGAAGTAGAAGACAGTGTTATTGTACTCGAAATGAACTGCAGGGTATTTCTCGTCTCCAGCCCGGGCTTGGTTTCTGGTCGCATACTGTAAATGTGTCCTCAGGCTTTGTATTTCAGCCACTTAAACATTTTAACTCTTTCTGTTAACATTTATGGGGATGTGAAGAATGCTCTTATCATCACATACACAGACTCTGCTGAGGTCTAGATGTACTGTCTCTTTTTCATTTTCAGACTTCAGTATTTACTCCCTTCATTTGTGGTTTTGTGACAGACCAGGCTGTTGCTTTTAATTGCCAAAACAAAATTGTTTTCTTTCACCTAGTTTTGTGACCTTTCTGAGTTTGTACAGATGTGATACTGTGTGATTTAACAATCAGTTTGGTTTGTAAAAATTTTTAATGTGTATAACATTTAACATAATATAAACTAATGAGATTGACAGGTGTATATTTTGTGAGAAAGATGTGTAAATTGGAAGACTGCACTGAAGAGGACGTCAATACGGTGCTTCAACGGAGTGAAGGAATGTTTGTGGAACATTGTTTGAGCTGTCTTTGAAATTGTACAAATAGTAACCCAACCTTCATAGAGATCTTGTCACTTAACTTTGAGAACCAACTGCTGCCTACCTTTCAGAAGTGTTTGTGTATTTTTTACACAATCAAGACTCACTAATGAGCAACCGGTCCTCTGGTTTCAGCTCACTTCTTTCATAAAACAAACAAACAAAAAAACAAAAGAAGAAAAAAGGACCACAGAAACAAGCCTCCACAACTGCTGTGCCACAAATAAAAACGGATCATCTTTCCCCTCAAAATGGATGTTGGCAAGGACTTTTAAAGTGGTTTTAGTCAGGACTACTGACATGAAACATTACTGGACTGGGATGCTGAAGTACTTGTTACCAGTAGTTTGAGATTTAAACAGCTTGCGTCTCTAACCAGCAGCTGCACTTAACACTGCTACGTGTAGCACATGGAAAACACTGCCAGGTTTCTACCTGTTTGAATTTACGCACAGTTCAAAACGAAACTGAATCTACTTGTTGTCAACTGTTACACCAGTATGTTTGTATAGTTCAGGTAAGACTGAAATATTTTAATTTTACTTAATATTTATAATATAGTCAAGATGGAAAGATGAGCTAACAAGGACAAAAACAATGTTCGACAGACAAAGCTAGATTGTAATGTAAAAAAAGTAGATCTGGATGACAATAACTACAATTGATGAGCTGAAAAAAATAGGCATGGTTATGAGTATTTTCATAATATTAAGGCCTGTACAGTGCATATGCTTTGCATTGTATGTTTTGTGGAATAAATGGTCAACAGTGATGGACAAGTTGGTTGTTTTTATTTCAAAACAAGTTGACAGTGAGAAATAATAAGCTGTTGTTTATGAGTGTGGCATCTTCACATTTTTGATATGCAAAAAACCCATTAAATGTTTCAGTGTAAATGTATTCAAGTTTTACCTCTTTCAAATAATTAAGAGAAAAAACACTTTAAACAGAAAAATCAAAATTTTCAGATTTGAGAAACTTAAGTATACGTTTAAATAACGTTATGTACAAGACATTCAAAATGTCTGCAACTCTTTAAGAGCAGTTATAAAGTATCTAGTGCAATTCAGTTTAGACCATTTGAGCTCTTCTTCTGGATCTCATTACAGGTGCATCTTCTGATGGTGTCTTCTGAGGTGATAGTTTCTTGAAAAGCTCTTTCCGCACTGAGCACATTTGAACATTCTCTGTCCCAGGTGAAGCATTTGATGAGCTTTGAGACTCTGCGGGCGACTGAAGCTTTTACAACATTCAGGGCAACTATAGGGCCTCACCCCCGTGTGCTTCATCTCATGTCTCTTCAGGTCTCCCGACTGCCGGAAGCTCTCCCCGCAGTGGGTGCACAGATACGGCTTCTCTCCGGTATGAGTCCTGAGATGCACGTTGAGCTGGCCAGTGTACGAGAAGCTTTTGGCGCAGTGAGGGCAACTGTATGGCTTCTCACCTGTGTGAACGCGCTGATGCTGCTTGAGACCATAGTGGTTTGTGAAGCCTTTCCCACAGTCTGTGCACAAGTACAGAACCTTCACCTGCTGGAAGCATGAGTGAGATTTGAATGATTTGGCACTTGCACAGCTCTTCCCACAGTTAGGACACGTATACTTCTTTTCCCCCTCCTCTTCCTCCGGCTGATCTATTAGGCAGTCTGAATCACAGAGAGACAGATACTCCACAGGGTGGTGCCTCTTGATGTGTTTATTCAGGTAGCTCTTCATAGTGAAGGAGAACTGACAGTGTGTGCATGGAAAAAGCTCAGATGTGCAGTGATACTTCATACAAACGTTGCTCTTCTGATGCTGTTTGAGTTTACCAGATGTAGTGAAGGCTTTATCACAGCGGTCACAGCTGTAAGATTTAGCATTTATGTGTACCATCTGCTCATGTCTTTTCAGGAATGCAGACTTATTAAAAGTTGCCGCACACTGACCACACTTGTGCTGTCTCAAAGCACACTTGTGTGCTTTGAGATCATTTGGGTTTCCATATGTTCGTTTACAGCGATTACAGCTAAACCATTTGTACTTGGTTAACTTCCCATTTCTGACAGCGGGTGTCTCTGGTTCAGTACAGCTCGGCTGTGTCTGATCAGGGCTGGTTAATGGCTTCTTGCAGATGTCTGCCCGTCGTTTTGGAGCTATTAGCTTTGTTATGGCAGAAATTTTAGATCTAGCGCCAAGTCGCTGAGGCCTCTGAGAAGGAAGTTCTTCGACAGTTTCATCTGTTTTGGTCACTGAACGCTGTGGAATAAAGGTGGGATCATGGCTCTGATCATCATCATCATCAGAAGGTACAGTGTCCTCTGTGTGATGCTCAGTGATGTGCTGCTGAAGGGTGTCCACAGAAGAAAAAGTCAGTGAACACTCAGCACAGCTAAAGGGCATGATGTCTGGGTCCTCAGGAAGATTTATTTTTTCTTTTCGTTTATCTTCTTTCTGGTGACACCGCAGATGTCTGGTCAGGTCATTGTACTGGCCAAAGCACTTCTGGCACACAGTGCAGACATATGGACGTAGCCTCTCATGGACCCTCACCTTATGCTTTTTGAGGGAGGCTTCATTTGTGAAGCTCTTACTGCAGCCTGAACAGTTGAATTGGGATGTTTCTGCTTCTCCTGCAGAAGTACACTCAGTTTCAGTTACATCCATTGGTTCTTGTGGATTCTCAGTTACAGCTGGATCTGCAGTATTACAAAGTTCTGACAACTGTGTCAAGTTCTCTTTCTTTTCACCGAGGACTCTGTTCTGATTAGAAACTTTGGTCACAGCCTGCTTTCTGTGAATTAGCTGGTGTCTGATTAAGCCAGATGCCTGGCTAAAAGTTCGCCGGCACTGCAGGCAGCAGTAGGGCCGCCTGTTTGAGTGGACACTAAGTTTGTGCCTCTTGAGGTGAGGCATTTGCTTAAAAATCTTCCCACATTCACCACATGTTTTGGACTTAACAGGATCAACAGATAATACCACCAAGGATGCTGCAGAGTGACCTGAGTCAGTGGTGGAGGCATGATCTCTGGGTTCAGCCTCTTCAGTGGCAGCTGTTGTACAGTCCTTTGTAGGCTGTGTGTGGGCATACTCCATATGCCTCTGGAGGAAGGCCTCTGTAGTGAAGGACAGCTGACAGTGGTGGGGGCACAGGAAGATCTGAGATGTTGCAGTTGTATTGGTCTCTACAATTACAAAGAAGGGGAAAAAATTGTCACACTTCAAGTTTTAAAATAATACTGAATTATAAGAATTCTCCCTCTTCAAGGAAGTTCTATGTATTGACTGCAAAATTACATGACAAACTAATTAACTGAAAAGTAGCCAATAAAAAAAATTACATATTTCTTTCTCTGAGTAATGACAATGTAAATGTGAAGGTACCTGCTGTTTTCTGCTTCATGAAAAACACCTGGTTCCAAGCTTCACTAAAATGGCTGAGAAGCTTGCTGCTGGGCCACAGCAAGAGCTCATCTCCAGGGTGTATGGGGCGACAGCAGTGAAAAAGGATGCTACCTTTGTACTGGACTGCCAGCAAATTTGCCTCCTCTCTATTACGAGCAAAGTTGACGTACCTTTGTATGGAGAAAGAGATTTAAAAAAATTTTCATGAAACAACTGAGCTTCAATACAAGCATGAACAGACTCTTAGATTCATCACAAGCAGCAACTTTGGGTGAGATACCATGAGGTTAACTTCTGAGGTGATGGCTCTTTATTATTCAGTTATTCTGTAAGTGAACAAGACAAACAGTCACAAAAGCAGCATTTAATACATTACCTCAGCCAATTCGAGTGCGATTCTCTGGCAGCATCAATGTACTCATACTCATCTTTTTCTTTATAAATCTGTAGAAAATGAGATTATCTTCAAAACAAAATATGCACAAATAACAGTAACTAGAAAGAGATGTAGTAGAGAAAATGAGAAGTCTCAGCTACAAGTCAAGTTAAACTGTCACAGCTCACCTCCCATGAGAAGTCACTTGCCATAGCATTTTCACTTGTTGTCACTTCCCCCTCATATGGCCCAAAATGCATTCCTGGAAACACTACTGCTCCGTGATTTATGACTCCAACACCTGCACAAGGAATGCTAGATCTGCCTATCATCAGGCCATAAGGAAGAGTGAGCAGGGCTCTCTGGGAGACACCCATGCTTGTTGGAAAGTCAAGAATAAAAGCTGGGCCATTAATGTTTGCAGGGTCACTCTGATTTTGGAAGAGAGTCAGACACTCCTCACAATCTGGAAAATACAAAGTAGAGGAAAACAGGAGGAAACCACTTAAAATCTTACAGAAATACATACAGTACAATTATCATGCTGAGTTTCTATTCGGGGTTCATGGGAGTGTACCCAACCAGTCCACATGTGTTTCGTGGATCTGGAGAAGGCATTCGACCGTGTCCCTCGCAGCGCCCTGTGGGGGGTGCTCCGGGAGTACGGGGTCCGGGGTCCTTTGCTAAGGGCCGTCCGGTCCCTGTACGACCGGAGCAGGAGCTTGGTTCGCATTGCCGGCAGTAAGTCAGACTTGTTTCCAGTGCATGTTGGACTCCGGCAGGGCTGCCCTTTGTCACCGGTTCTGTTCATTATTTTTATGGACAGAATTTCTAGGCGCAGCCAGGGGCCAAAGGGAGTCCGGTTTGGGGACCACAGCATCTCGTCTTTGCTTTTTGCAGATGATGTTGTCCTGTTGGCCCCATCAAACCAGGACCCCCAGCGTGCAATGGGGCGGTTTGCAGCCGAGTGTGAAG